TTTTGACTCTTCATTCTGGCCCACCACCTTGCCATGCGGACATCTTCCTCACCCTTCTCAGGTTCCAATATCCCATCCCAGGTTACCTCTCCCTACACCATGGGGACAGTTTCCTCACTGTGCTCATCCTCTGATAACCTGCTCTGCACAAATATAGCTTCTCTCTACCCTGATAGCCATTTGGTTGGCCCTGCCTAGTGTCTTTTGACCTGAATTGTTCAGTAAGGGAATTGAAAGGAAGAAAAAGAGGAGGTAACACTTGATACCTGGTACATGGTGTTAGGGAAATTGGATTATAAAATGAGGTAAGATTCAAAGGTGTAAATTGTTCATTTGAGGGGAACAGTGATTATCATGGTTTCTGGATCATAGAGTACTTGAGAAGACTAGACTTGTTAAAGGTGAGGATATAGAGTTATATAGGTCCTTAAATTGTTAGGAAATGATTTTGCATTGGCAATAACTAGGTGTGTGAACATGTGATCAGTTTGCACTTCAAAAAATTCACATTGAAGTATGTAGGAGATATGGGGAGACAAAACACTATTAAACTAATTGCATTGAAAAGTAAGAAAATGACCTGAATCAGGGCTAAATAGAAGGCATGAGAGAAGGGATACCACTGCATGACTTTATCATTTCAGAATGCCAAGCCAAGCTTGAGCTGTCTTGTGAAGGCCTGACCTTATATGTGAGAGAGGACTTTCATCAAGCTAACTTCCAGGTACCTTGGATTTTGTGGGTGCTCTGGATGTTGTAGTTGTAGATGCTATAGTTGCATCACTTAGATTCTTCCTTCAGGACATACTAATTTCTCCACCCCAGGACTTTCCCAGCTCATAGCTAAGTCCCTCTTCAAAATTGCCCTTAAGTCAAAGGAAGCTGCTTATGTTCCTCATAAAGATACAGCCCGCATTTAATGACTTGTCAATGAGGGGACACAAAATCCCAGTCCCCTTGCCTCATTCAATTTAGGACAACTATGAGAGAACATCCCAGCTTCAGATATCCTCACCTTGAGGTTGGCTGAAGTCTAATTTGCAATTATATCATGGTTCTACCTTCCTACTGACCATTCCTGTTCCCCTCATCCTTCATAGGTTTTGCTTCTGAGGGTAAGGCCCAATACACCTCCTATATGCACTCTCAGTCTCAAGTTTGGTCTGATAAACTGGATTTAAAACAAATTGATTCTAAAGGCATGTGTTGGTAATCATTTTCTCTGAGCTTGGTTAACATTCCTTGTTGTTATACATAGAGTTGTTAATTTAGAAGGAATTGCATTTTCCAAAAGCATTTTATTCACTCTCAGAAACTAGTTCAGACATAGGGGAAATTTACTTCTTTAATAACTATACCTGATAAAAGTTGAAATAAGCTTTGTCTCCTATAGGTAGTAAAGATTTATTTTCTTCCTCTGAATCACTGTAGATATCATGTAATGAATCATTTCCCATATGATGTGACTGTGAATCACTTCCAGTGTGGCTCTTGACTTCTAGAAGACTCATGTCTATCATCACGGAGGCCATACAATCATACTTGAAATGATATAGATTATGATTTTTTAAAACTCAAGGATACTTTTAAAATTTCTTTATTGTTGTTGTTTATTTTCAATTTTGTTGTTTATTGGGTTGGAGACAATAGAAATAAATTGATGATAGATTGGAAATGTATACTTCTTGAGAGAGTCTAACATTTGTACTTAGAATATTACCAGATATATAGTATGTATAAATAAACATCTGTTAAATAAAAATCAGTTAATAAATAATTATATAAAATTGAATACAAGTTCCAAGGAGCTCTTCAAGTAGAAGAATTTAACATATAAGATGGAGTACAAGTCCACAGGATCTCTTTAAATGGAAGAATTTAACAATGATAGTTTACAACTAGTAATCATCAGAATGTCAGTCTCTTGCTATTCTAGCTTCATTCACCTGAATTTAAAATGCCTTGGGGTTTATTAGGATTTTTTTGGTAATAAAGTGATATATTCTAACATTGACTTAAAAGTGTGATTTGATACCAAGAATAATTTTCAAAGATCGAAGGCATGAATGGATTGTGAAGCAAAATACTTTAGCAGACACCCATATAATTTGATACAAAAATATTTTTGTTTTATTTATCTAAACAATTCAGTCTAAAGTTTCATTCTCTTTCTCTCTCTCCCCCATCCTTAAAAATTTGTGTTTCTTTTCCCATTTTTGACTTAAAATTTAAGGTTAAACAGGGTCCCAATATGCCTATCATGGTACAAAAGTCATTTTGAAACCTTGTTTGGTTAGTCTCTGGCTGACACAGGGCCCCTTGTCCTTTCCTCTGCTCACTCATGGAAGAGAAGGGGAAGTGCTGCTGCCGTCAGTCACTCCTTCAAGGATTGGAGAAACCCCTGAGGCTGATCTGGCTTTTATCTTTACTCACTATTGCTTGCAAAAAGCCTGAGCAGCAGTCTTATTTGCCAGGGACTATCCCAGGAATTGTCCCAGTTTTAGTACTAAAAATCCCCTGTCCTTGGACACCCCACAGCCTGCAACAAATCTGGACATCTGGTTGCCCTAGTAAATAAGGGCCTTCCCACAAACATTTATTAGATGGAAGTTATTTGGTTAATCCTTGGTCTGTGCTAGGTGAGGACATGTCCTCCTTTGCTACAGATCTTACATGAACAAGTGAGTGAAATGCAAAAAGCTCTAGAACTGGGCTGAATTCATTACTCAGGCCAAAAAAAAAAAAAGGTAATATGCTTTATATGTCAGCTACCACCTCAGCTGGATGTGTCATCAGGAAAGAACTTGGTGGACCAAGAACAGAAAATTCTAAGAAACTCTGAGAGTTTGAAGAAAAAAGTTTTAAAATAAAGGTATTTTGCTTTAGTTTAGGCCTAGAAGATAGATTCTTAGGCCAATTTGTAGAGTCCAAAAGACAAGGTGGCAATGAATCAAGAAGCCAATAAATATGTGTTTAAAATACTTCATCATGAGGATAGAGTACATGGTTAGTCTCACATCTTGTATTTCTTCACTGTTTAACTTGAAACCTGCTGTCACCATTTTTGGCAGACATTTTTTTTTCACAGATTTTATTCAGTCATATATTGATATGGCATTACTTGCTAAAGGTATATAATGTCTTGGATTCTGTTTAGATTACTACTGCAATTGAAAATGGAGACCATGCTGTAGCTTCATGAATGAGTGGTCTTGTCTTCTTGCCCTGTGCACTGTCACTTCTAGAACAGCGTCTGGCACATAGCAGGCACTCAAAATATATTTGTTAAATGACTGGTTTCTATCCTCACAGAGCTGACAGACCTGACTGCATATCAAGATAATGTAAAAGTTAAAAACACATAGCAACAAACAGAAGAATTACTAAAAGGCAGTGTGTAAGTAGGATGTGAACTTTGTATCATAAAGCATTGACTTTTAAAATAAAAACTATGAGGTAGCATCTCATATTACTGTCAATCATTGGTATGCCTGTGAAGCTGCAAGTTCTGAAATTAGTCTTAACCAAGGGAGGTGCAGAATGAATAAGAAGAGAAATTGCACACAGACTTCAAATTTCTGCAGGAGTTTGTGTAGGGTAAACTAGCTTGCACTAAGATCAAATTATTTTATAATTAGTTAAATTTATTTTTAAGTGATCTATAAAAACATAAAAATGGTTCATAATAATGTCGATGTTTCCATATACGTATGCATTGTGTAATGCTTAAAATCAGGTTACACATGTCCATCTCCTTAATCAATTATCATTTCCAAGATGAAATTCTCAAATCTGGAGCTTGGGGTGAATGACAGGTCAAAGTATTTTGAGGTATAACTTTTTATTCCTAAAGAAGTCCGCTCCCTCCTTCTCCTCCCCGCTTCCCACCCTTTCTTGGCTAGGTGAGATGCTGCTATAAAATTAAAAAAAAAAAAAAAAAAAAAAAAAAAAGGAAGAGGAAGTTTGCTTTCTCAAACACATGCATGGCAGGTAGAAGTGCGTGTGTGGGGGTGGGGAGGGGCTGAGTGTGGTCTGAGCAAGTCACCACCTCCCAGGGAATTGCTGGCCTTAGGTCTTCCGACCTCTCAGAGGGCTGTTCCAGCACAGCTGAGGGAAATAGGCCAGGCCTGCAGGATCTGCGGGTATGTTTAATTTCTAGAGGACATTTGTTTTTCTCAACTCCTTTCCCCCTTTCAAAATCTGGCAAGCGTTAGTCAGCTCCAGCTCGGCACGAACCCACAAGTGTGAGCGCGTAGCTCTGCGGGCTTCAGACCCGGCCCCGCCCGCCTCCGGCGCACACTGACACATTAGCCCGGAGCTGGCCCCAGCGCGCTCTGGGTCTTGGCGGGGCTTCTGTCAAGCCGCTGGCCCCAGGGCACGCTCCGCCTCCTCAGCTTAAGGGGACGGCCTGGCCCAGCTGTGAGGGATCCAAGCCGAGCACAGGGAAGAAAGTTTTGCAGCGCGGAGGGGAGTTGGGCCGCGGGAGGAAGGAAACCAAAAGAGGAGGGTCTCCACTCCAAGTTTGTTTGGCGGTCGCCGCGATCGTGGGGCGCCTGTCCCGGAGCTCACCGTAGCGGCCAGACTTTAGCCTTCCGGGCGGATGGGACTCTCTGTTCGGGTCCGAGACCGGCGCTAGAGGCTCGGTCAGGGGCCGGGGAGGAACTTGTCTTGCGAGCTGTCGCTGTGGGCCTTTATTGTCTGCAGGAACTCTCCGGAATCGGGAGGGGGAGGACTGTATCGCGCTTCCACTGGGATTCGTCAAGAGTTCCGGCGGCAGCTGTGGCTGCTGCGGAGACTCCCTTTGTCCTCTCAGGACCTCCTTCTCTCCCTCTCTCCCTCTCTCCCTCCCTCTATCAGTTGGTGGGTCCAGCTGACCCGGGCGCCGGCGCCCCAGCTGCTCTCAGCGCTCCCATCCCAGAGCCAGTCCCTGGTGACTTCAGCCTCGGTTGCTTATTTACCCTGCCGAGCCCAGGGGGCTAAGAGCAGGAGGGAGTCTAAGGCCCCCCGGCCACAGGATGGTGACCCGACGGTCTGCGGCCCGCAGCTCCGGGAGCTGGCTGTTCCCAGGGTTGTGGATTGTGGTGCTCAGCGGTCCTGGGGGGCTGCTGCACGCGCAGGAGCAGCCGTCTTGCAGAAGAGCCTTTGATCTCTACTTCGTCTTGGACAAGTGAGTGCGGAAGGAGGCCAGGGTCTCCTGGTGAGGGCGGCACTGGATCACCGGCAGCTAGGGAGGTGGAGATGAGCATGTGCACCCTGGGGAGGGGTGTTGGAAACCCGCGGATGGGTGCCCTGTTGCTATCTCCTTTCCAAGGCAAGCGCTTTTGGATCTATGTAGGCTGGAGAGGGATGGAGTGGTGGTGATGGGAACCCAAGGCTACTGGGCCCTCTGGGGAGGTGGAGTATATTTACTGCTTGCCAGTTTGGGAGCCTCTTGGGAAATGTGAGTGTGACCACCTGGGTGGCATTCTTGTCCCAGGGACTCTCTGTCCCTTGATCCTAACCCACCCAGCACACACAGGCTGTCTGAAGTTTCCTTAGTTTTATCCTGATTACATTGCTTTCATTGGAGCAAGGAAAAGCCTTAACAGCCCAATATGGTTTGCATTTTGTGCGGAAAAAGGCTTTTGTGTTTATTGTGAAAAGCTAAGTCCTGCTCCAAACAATTAGCAGGGGGAGAGCCCCCCCCCAGATTGGCTAATGTCCTTGGCTCTGGTAGCACCAAAGTTACTGGGGGAGGGTATCCTCACTTTGCTTGAAAAGGAGGGCAGCCAGGGTTGGTCTTGGTAGTACTAAATAAATGTTTGTATTTTAGTTTTATTTTTCTAATCAGTTTAATTTCTTTTTCTTTTTTTTTTTCAGGTCTGGGAGTGTGGCAAATAACTGGATTGAAATTTATAATTTTGTCCAGCAACTTACTGAGAGATTTGTGAGGTATTTTTCCCACTTTACTTTTCTTGGCAATGGAGAGAAAGTAGATCAAAATGTAGAATTTCTCCTTTACAAAACCTTTTGCAGGAAGAAAACTTTTTCTGAAATGTTGATTTTTAAGTGCCTCAAGGAGGTTATTGCACACATGTTATTAGGACAGCTGTTCAGTCCTTGAGGGCTTATTTTATCTGGATCCCAAAAACTTGGCTCAGACTCTGGGGAAGCATCTTCAAATACTATTCCAAATGTCTTTTCCTTTTTGAATTTTCATCTGTTTTGAATTTCAGTTATGCTTTCTCATAATTTATCACATTAAAAAATTAATTTTATGCTAATAGTATCCATAATATATTTTCCATTTCACACAATTCTTACTATTGTAGAGGACCTCATTTAAGAGAAAAAAAAAGTGTTGGAAAACTTCAAGTGAACATGTGTTAATAACCCACTACCAGAAAAAGCACTTGTGTGTGTGTTTAAAGAAATGACTTGTGTTTACACAATGTGTGGGTGTGTGGCTGGTTTAAAATTTAACTGTTCTATATATGCAATAAGCTTCACTAGGAAAGACTGGTTTCTTTTCCTATAAAAAGCATTACTGCTACAAAATCCAGCTTACTCTCTTATTTAGAGGTAACCAGGAATTAGTGGCATCTCTTATTTAAAAATAACCCTGAAATAGTAGGCTTTTTTCCCTCTCTTTTTTTTAAGGAAAAGAAATGCAATGAGCAAATGCAAGTTTATCAAGATAATGGAAAGGACATGAATAGGAACTGTATCATTAAATATTGCTTCTTTCAGTCTTGTTAGCCCAAATGTTTTCTGTAAAACAGGCTTGGATGATCAAAACATTTTGAAAGTCATGTTGCAAGTAACTTCAAACAATCTGTAGAGGCCTAGGCAATCCTTGCTTTCAGTTATTGGCAGCAGTAAAGTTATCCCTATAAAAATGTATGCCTGTCCATGTTCAATCATCAGTCCCCTGCTTAAGAAGCCAAGTATAGCACTCTCATTTCTGGACAAGGTCTGAGGTAAAATTGCCTAGAGAAGAAAAAGAAACAAGACCCTCCTATGTCCTTACATGTCAAAACAAAACAGGCAGTTGTTTATAAATTTTCTGATTTAATCCTATGGTGTGCAGAGAGCGTCACATAGTTTTGATCAAAAGCAATGAATTATTTCAATGCAACAGTCGAAGAAAGTGAGGCTCATATTCATTTAGTCTGGTTTGCAAACTGGAATTCTATAACATACAGTTTTCTGGTGGAAGCTTATTTGCTTATTGTAGGAAGTGAATACCAGATGACTACTGAAGAGAGTGATGTTTAAAGTATGTATGAGCCTTTGAGACAATTCTGATCTTCAGTTTGTAGACCTTAGTTTCATATCTTCAGTTTCAGATCTTAATAATAGTTTCAGATTTTATTAACAGTTTCTAATACACTGAATACTAGAAACAAGAAACATTCTTTAAGATAGCTGCCTATGACCTGAAAGATGTAGCTGACTGGAACAATTACTGTTGATTGGAAATATAATATTTGAGATGTCAAAATACTTCATGAAAAAGTGATGTGTTAGTTTTTCGTTTTATTACAATTTCCAAGACACTCTTTAAATATTCTCACTTTGGGATGAATTGTATGTGGACCCTTATCATAATTGTGGTCATTAGGTCAAACTGGCTGCTTTCTAGCCCTACTTATGTTAAGGATAATCACTCTGAAGGGTCTGGCCTCCTTCAAGGGGATGAAGTCTAACACTAAGGGAAGAAGCGTTTTCTATGAAAGATTTTACATCAGCCCCAAATTTATCTTTCCAGTTAATCTCTTTCTAAATGCAAACCCCTATGAGCCATGGAGGGGCATTGGGCATCAACAAGTATTGACTAAATATAAAATGACTTATGCAATAATGTTAAGCAGACTCAGTGTAGCTACTTAGGAAGTTCCATTTAAAAGAAGTCTGGACCATCAGTGAGACCAATTTTAAATGGGCCTTAGCTATACATCTGTATTTTATCAATATTTCTTTTAAAATGTTTTAAATGCCTCTTTTCTTATTTTGCAGCCCTGAAATGAGATTATCTTTCATTGTGTTTTCTTCTCAAGCAACCATCATTTTGCCATTAACTGGAGACAGGTTAGTGCATTATCATTTCACAGCATGCTTTTTAGTAGAGATGAATCTTAAAGGCATGATTGATATTTCCAAGTAGTAATTCAGGCCTCTCAGTGGAATCAAGCAAATGTGCAGACAATTCAGTTCTTTATGCTAATAGAAGGGAAAGGAGGTATGAGCAATGGAAAAGAGCAGATAATCTGAAAATCTATGTCTTTTATGTTGGCTGTGGAATGTACAAGGAAGCCCAGAACCTTGCCTTAGTTGTAGATTCATAATTTTCTACCTTTCCCCCTCTCTATTACTGTGAGTAGCTCTACATTTTTTTTGTTTGGATGTAATGTATTAATCAACAAGGATTTGAAAGATGATTGGAAAGGAGAAAGATATGGAATCTATTTGGATAATTTAGTAGATTCAGTAGAAATCCCATATGTTCTCTCCTTTGAGGTCCACTGATACTGAATATATTCAACTTTATGAAGGAACACATACCACACACACAAAATCTCCTTAGTGCTTTTAAGAGATGTGGCTTTTCTCAGGCTAATGTCATACATTTCTGTCACTTGATCTTATCATGGCAGGCTGGAAGAAGTCATTGACATATTTAAAGAAAGGCTGCTTTCAAGGAGATCAGTTTTGCTTAGTAGACTGTAAGCACCATAGCTAGAAGGAGGTTTTATTCATTTTTATTTTTACTTTGTCTAACTCAAAGAATATAAGATCTTACCCAATGAATTCTTATTTAATGAACAAATGAATCAGCATTATTTTGAGATCAGATTTCTCCAATCTGTAGTTTTAACAAGGGAAACTAATACACTTTCTTTTGCATGATATATGGATTTCTGAAATGGTATATGTGAACACAGTTTTTTTTTTCCTTATAAAATTTAATTTAAACAATTGATTGTCATTTGCTTCTTGACCATCTATTTCTATGAAAAGGTCAAGAAAGTATAACATTTGAACGGGCTCAAAGAGAGAGTTTCTTTATAATTCACTGAATTGATTTGGAAAAATTTATATATAAGCTTCTAACTTTGTTCATTAAGTTTCCTTTTTCTTAAGAGGAAATCTAGGTGGTAAGACCAGCCAAAGACTTCAGTCTTCCAATCAATATTTTACTTTCTTACTTTCTTGTGTGCATGTGGTTCTCATCAGAGATCAGGGTAATAGTCATTCCTTACAACCTCTGTACAGCAGTTTTCTATGCCCAGTGATATAACAGTTCTTGACTTTATAAAAAGAAATTTTCTCCATTGCCCAACTTAATTTCCAAAGAAACAGGTTTGGATCTAGCATATCAAGGGAAAAAAAGAACAGTTTTAACATTTATGGCATGCCTATATATAGAAAAGCACTTAGCATAATGCCAGACATATAGAAGACTCAGTAATTGACAGCTACATACATTGTGCCAGCTTCTGTAGGCACTTTGCATATGGGTCCTCCAGCACTTTGGAGATGAAGTGTAGTCACTGGTTGCCCAGATTGGTATTCCTTAGACGTGCATGGAAGGGGTTGAAATCTTTTAGTTGGAGATTCTTTCTTTATGGGTGGTTGAATCCAGTAGAGGAAAGGTTGAAACTGGTGCGAGAAGAGGTTTCTCTTTCAAGAGGCTATGTTATTGTTGTACTTTACTGTTGCAGTTTAAATTTGTTCTCCAATTTTCTAGTCAAAGTCAAGAATAAGTTGCTGAACCTCTTTCTGCTTCCATTTTTCCACCTAGATAATGATAATGACAATGATGATGATGATAATGCCTACTTCATAAAGTTTTTTGTAAGAATTGAATTGATAGTGTGGAGAATGTAGGACAGAGTCTAGAACATAAGTATTTAAGAGATAAAAAATTTATTATTATTATCTAGAGCTAGGGAGTATGCAGTATTTTAATGATCAGAGAAGAATTATGCTTATATAAAGGGAATATTGTTATATGTTTCATTTCAGCTATATATATATTTTTGATGAGTAGAAATTTGAGTGTGTAGGGATAAGGAAATGAGGAATAAGAAAGAGCATAACCATCATATATCACTTCTCCAGAGAGAGAGAGAAGACAAACTGTAAGAGGGTGAATATTAAATAATATTTTGAAATCATCTGTAATGTTGCAGAATAAACAGAAATTCCTCTACTAAATTTTAAATAAATTATATTATTCATGAAAAAAGGGAATATTGTCCTACTTAAAGGGATTGATACTATTCCATGAGTAATTCTAATAATATGACTTACAAATTTATTTTATATATAGCTGACTCCTCTTTTTCTAAGTAAAAATGCTTTTTGTTTTCATGAATTTCACTATTTGTGGTGTATTGAAATAGTTTGGGATGACAGAAGATATACTGAAAAACCCTGGGTAATCACTCTAGCTTTGCCACTTAATGATTTGGAGACTTGAGGCAAATCATCTACTTAGTGTGTCTGTTTTTCTGTCTATAAAATAGAGACATAAAATCTGTCATATTTTCTTAGAGCGTTGTTGTGAAGATCAAAATAAGATGATGCATAGAAAGGTCCTTTGTATATCATAGAACAATTTCCAATAAAGGATTTTGTTTTCGTATAAATTGTTCTTTTACTAATTTTATCAGTTGAATCAGCAATTTTTCAAATTTCTATGGTCCTCTATATTTGGGTATGGGATCACTTTTCTTCCATTGAACAATTTTAAGTATGTAGAAGCAATTTACATATTTTATGGTTGAGGAAATGTTTCCATAACTCTTGGGGACCTTTGTAAACCTAGAAATTGGAATCCTACATGTAAACTTTTCTGCTGTCTTGAAGCATGCTCACAAATAGGTCTAAGTACATAATTCAGAAAGCAAAGATTAAGAAAAGTACAGTGGTTTCATAATTTTGGTTCTGTTACCCATAATTCTTCAGTACCTCAGTAAATATGAGAAGTACCTCTTTCATGTTTCTCAGAATGTTGCTAAAGGTTTTCAGGAGAGGTGAGGCAAGTTTGGAGGACAGTAAGTGCTTATGTAGGGCCATGTCTTCTGTTATGGCTTCAGGATGGTGTTCAATAAATAAGTGTACAAATAAATAATAAACATGGCAAGATATTTCATTACATATTTATATGCTAATTATTTAAAAAATTCTTTTAAATATTTCAATTTGAATTATTTCAAAAAAAGTCCCACCTTTTCTCTTACCCCCTGACTTTTATCCTCCATGTGTTTGTTAGTTCAACCTTCCACCTACCTACCTATTTGCCTGCCTACCTTATATACAGGATCTGGGGATAACATAAAGATGAATGATCTAGTGTGGTGAGTAGGGACATGACCATATACATAAATAGTCTGGGGTTGCATTATAGGCTCAGGTAAGAGAAAAATGCCAAGTGTTGATTAAATATGGAGATATCCGGCTTTTTGATATTAGAGAATATGGAATCAGGATGGATTTTTAAAGAATTCGTCATGATGTGGCATAAATACAGATAGTGAATTATGCTTAGTTCTGTTCAGTATTATCTTAAAGTGGTAATAGTGATTTAGGTTAAAACATTTGTTAGACAATTTTTGTGTGCCAGGCAGTGTGCAAAGTGCTTTGTTAATCCTGTCAATTCCATGTAATAGATAATGTTATTGTCTCCATTTTATAAATGAGGAAACTGAAGCCAAGAAAAATAATGTAGCTTTTCTAAGGACACACAGTTAAAAAACAGTATGTTAGCTAGACGATCTTTTAAAATTTGAAACAGATCATGCCACTCTCATGCTTAAATTGGTCTAATGGCTTAGAATAGAAAATAAGTGCCTTCTGATTGCCTCAGAGCTCTACCTGACTGCCCCGCCTCATCTCTGCTACAACACTCCATCCTGCAATCTAGCCCAGCCATCCTTTTTTCCAGTCCCTGCATGAGCCAAGCTTGTTTGTGCATTAGGATCTTCCCTCTTTCTCTGCCCCAGATCTTCTCCTAGGTAGCTCATTCTTGTCATAACTCACCTCCCATGTCGTCTCTTCTAAGAAACCTTGCCTGGTCACCAAGTCTAAAGGAACCCCACCACTCTTGCATATTATCTTTTATAACACTCTATTTGGTTATTACTTTTTGAAAATTTTCTCTTAATCATTTTATTCATACCTCTATGACCATATTATTAATTATGAAAGTAGGGAACCTTAATTTTTTGTGTGCATTCATATTGCCCAACACCTAGAACAGGTCCTGAGACATAGTGGAAGCTCAATAATTATTCATTGAATGAATGATTAAGTTCTTCTGACTCTAGAACCTGATTATTAGTTGCTCTCATAGATTTTCTCTCTTTATAGTTGTACTGTTTAATAAATGGTGACTTAGATTTCCTACTTTCCTTATTCCTACTTACATATTTCAGTGATAAATGTCTCAAACTTCCTTTTCAATATATGTACTTGTAATCTAATTGAGTCATAATTTGTTTGACTTGAGCACAATAGTCAGTTACTTAGGGAAAAAAATAGCCCTTAGGCAAACTTATAGGAAATCATAGAAAAGTCAATTAAGCTCAGACAAGATACACATTTCTATTATTTGCATGAAGTTTTGGCTACTCATTCCTACCTCCCAATAGGCAGCATGTGAAGCATCAGGACTATCCATTCTATGTATGGTATCCTGAGAAACAGTCAATTGTCTTTACAGCTATTTACACTATTGTTTGGGGGTAATTTATTATGTAGCATTATGAAACCAACATAGAAATTGTGACTTCATCAGTAGCTGAAGAACCTTGAAGAAATTGATGGGAACACTGGAAGAACAGTGCATAAATTGTTACTGGAGGCATAAGCAGAGATAGCCTTTGTGTGTAGTGGTAGAAAGTCTGCTGAGAACGTGGAAAGTTAAAAATGTGTACAATCAACTAGTGGATGTGGCTCAGGAGCCCCCAAGGAGGACCGTTGAAGGTGTCAGGTAGCTTCTTTCAGCTACCTGTGATGACATGAGAGGAGTAAAATGGGTGGAAGAAGGAACTCCTGTTTTCAAGCAGGATTTAGAGAAAGTA